CATTTTGCCTTTGGCTGAAGTTAAAATAATTTTTATTTCGATTTATAAAACTAAATATGTTCTTTTTAGCAGCAGTGACTTTAATTTCATCTTTCTTTTCTTCCTTTTCTTTTTTCACTTCCACCTTGTCGTTCTCTAGATGCTCTATTAAATTTGACAGTTGTAAGTAAGCGCTCTATCCTGTCCCCTCCTTCTCTTCTCAGTCTTTTGCACTTTCAAAACCACCGTCTAGAATTCGTACTCTTCGCTGTGTGCTTTGCACTCTTATTATACTCTTATGACTGGTAATGATAGCGATGTCTTATTTATTTCAGGACTTACTTCCCGATCTTGGGTCGGCGTGAAAGCGAAGGGACCATTTAGCATGTTCCCTGTGGAAAATTTGTGTTAACTTGGTTCCGGTAAAAATCTCTTACGAAGTGTACGATATGCCGAACTTATAATATACTTTATTTCATAAGATTTACCATAATAACCCTTTCATGCGCCGTTAGAGTGCCTTCATACACTCGCGCGCTTTTGCTTGAGTGGTGACATCTCAGCCATTTTTCCGCCCAATCTTTTTTTATGCATTTTGAAGTGCGGGCAATCTGGTGTCACTCAGCACGAGCGCGTAGCTTTGGCTAATGCGTAGGCGCCATTTTACCGCCCAAGTCACGCACCGAGTGCGCGAGAGCGTCACGCGCTTGCACACTCAGGGCAACAATGGATGTCTTCACCCTGAGACAGACAGACATGTAGGCACCCTATGCGCCGTGAACTTCTAACGCCACCTACTTATGTTTCATCTCGCGTAGCTCACCAGTACAAAGTCGGTATCCCCAATTACGAAACTAACACTTATTATAACTCGTTTGTTCCTCGCACCAGCTCTGATTGGAATCGCATTTCCGCTGACATAGCCTCCATAACCAATACTATTGATTTTAAAAATGCCTTGTTTGTTAGTTTTGATTAATCATTTTCTACTTGGTATTACTGTTATAACATTGTGTAAACATTTTTGAAGTGTCTGAGCAAGCGTGCATTAATTACTGTATTATATTTCATGTATCAACAACTGTACCCTTGTCACCTAATCCCCCCCCCCCCCCCCCCCCCCCCCCACTCCCCTCTGTAATGCCCTTCTGGGCCTTGAGGGTAAATAAATAAATAAATAAATATTTATTAATTTTTGTGAGTATTACTATCTGTTTCTTATAAAACATACAGAGCGTCTCAAGTAAATCATGTATATACGAATGTGGTCCAATAAAATATTTTCGAACCACTTACTGTTGTTGACCCCAGTCAGGAGTCAATGTGGAGGTTGTGTAACTTCAATGTTTTACAGTTGAAAAAACAAACAAACAAGATATACCCATTTGTTTTGTGAAGTAGAATTTTTGTTTTACTCATTTTGCACGGATTATATCGTAAACATTAAAATAAAACTGCGCCGACATTACAAAAAAAAAAAAAAAAAAAGAAACAGCGGCTCCGGGAGCCGAAGAATTATGTATAGCCGAAGAGCTCCCGAGAGTGTAGCGAGGAACAACGCAAGAAGGAAAGATGGGGAGAAAGAGAAGGAGGAGAGTACCGGAGAACCGGAGCAGAAATGCCCAAACCGAAACCGAAACTAACTTTACCGGAACCGGAACTAGAGTGTGTTTAATGCCGCCCGCTAGGAGCGCTAGCTGTCACTTGTCTATCTGGGCCGCTGGGGCCTATGGCACAGAGCCGTATATGTAGAGAGTTTGGCCATTCGTTGGGAAGTATAGGAGACAATTGAGGAGGCGTCATTGGCCGAAAGCGGGCTGGGCGTGTTCCAGGGCCTCTTCAGAAATTCGAATATGACCAACCAGAAGCCGGAAATAATACCCTGGCGGTGGTCGCGAGAAACAAACCTGATAACTGCATTAGAGTAACTCTCGATGACTGAAAATATGGTACACGTGATGTTTCAATCACGCTCATCCAAAATGATGGTGGAAGAGTGCGACTAGCGGAACGATCGACATAATCCGTACGCCAAGCGCCGAGGGCGGGGAATCTGCCATCCGAGCGGTCACACTCTGTCCGAGCAAAACAGAGTTGAGCGGCGCATTCGTTTCTTACATGTTTCTACATGATCATGATCAAAACAACACGTGCACCCTATTTTCAGCCACGAAGAGTTACTACACTTCACTCTTACGCGCTTATTAAAACCATTTACGAACATAGACCTTCGATCAGAACTGTTTCTTGCTACCACCGTTAGGGGATTCTTTTCGGCTTCTGGTTGGTCAAGAGAGCATGCCGAGCCCTCTTTACGAGTCTACCGCACGCCCTGGCTCTGCCCGCGCGTCCCATTGACCAAACTCTCTACATATACGGCTCTGCAATGGCAGTGCCCGCTCTTTATCTTGTGTATATTACTCTATGCCGGCTCTGGGTGCTGCATCTTATCGGTGACATCACGGCTCTTGCGAGGTGACGTGGCGAGCAGTCACTTGGTTTCTATACGAAAAAGCTTGGTTCGTTGCTATGGTACTGCCTCTGGCCAATCGCGGTAAGAGGCGGCACAGGGAAAAGCGTGGCGTTACTCCGGCAGCAGCGCTGCCATATGCAGTGGCTGTAGTGTGCCTCCCCCCCAAATGGCTCGTAAATCCTTACCTGTGGAGGTATCTTGTCGGTATTGAAACCATGGTCGAAATCAACACGGTGTCACAATTCACAGAGCAGCGCGGCCGCTTGAACGGGACCCAACAAATTTACTCAGCATCAACAGGCACAAAGAACGGAATCAAGCCAGTTCGATCAAAGCTGCGAATGTGGGACGCTGGGCTCAGGCCAGTCCCGCTACGAAAACAAGCATCCGCACAGTGCTTCCGAAGGCGCGTGCTTGCGACAGTTGTTTGCTGCAAGCATGTCGGTTGATGAGATCTTCCTCTAAATACCTCTGTGAGCTCAAATCGACCCGCGCCCAGTAAAATTGGCTCGTTCAGCACTCTGCAGTTATGCTGGCAGCCATGTTTGCTATCGTTCGAAACCGAAGCGGAAAGGCAGCCTCGGGATATTTCGAAAACTGTAATTACTATCTAGATTATTTGTTTCTGAAACATTAGAAAATAGTCGATTAAAATACTTCTACTGCACTGATATACAAATTAACAACCAAACTTTCACAGATCAATAATCTCTCCAGCCAATAAGATATACCGACCTCGTAAGTACGAAGCAGGGCGGGGCTTAGCGGGCTGCGGCCTCCACATTTTGGTCGAAACTTTCGCCTAGCGGCGTAAATATTGCTCTAAATTTTGTGTAAAACTTAAAAAAAAGTGTCTTAGATATTTTTTTTCTTCATTACACTGTTCCTTTAAGATAATCTAATTGTTTAAAAACGCCATGCGTTTTTTTTTTTTATCCACCGGCTTTTGGTTGACATAAACCACTGAATCCTGGAAAGTAGCGCTATTGCCTTCCTTGCCTGTTAGCCGGACACAAAGAGATACAAACATACGGATGACCCGACCTCGAGAGGTGATAGGCTCATCGGCCTCAGTTGCCGTGACAATCGCCATTTTGGTCCATCCAAATCTTCGAAGCTGCGAAAGGGCCGTCCCGAACCAGTCGCGTCAACATCGCTATGGAGCATCATCGTACTGAAAGCGTTCCTCGCCAATATAAGCGCCTCTGGCCCTGTGCATGCAATCAACTTATAAATCATGTTTATCTCCACAGATCTCTTACAAGGGTATTGTTGTTTTCCCGCATTTTAAAGACAGCAACTTTAGTTTTCAATACCGCCAATCACCGACGCCGCTTGGGGTGACGGTGCAAAGATGTGCGCTTGTTTCGTCAGTGTGTGGATTACACAATCACGGTATTCAAGAAATGCCTTTAGGAAGCAGCCTGTCACCAAGACTGTGCTGGCCCACCAAGAGTGGAGAGGTCAGAAAGAAACTGCTAACTCAAAGAACCAAAATGGCGACCATTTTGGCACCATTTTGGCATTAGTTTTCCAGGATACAGTGACTTAGTTGGCATAAGCCTTTTGATATGTTTGTGTTGTTTTTCAAGCAGCGTCAAGTGCGCGGTAATGCACAAAGCTTGTGCCTAGTGCGGCCCTTGGAAGCAAATTAGAACTTTTAGCAAACCATTACCGTGTTCCGTGTACCACACTACCGGAGCCTTTGAAACATGCTTTTAAGCGAACGCCCGGTTGATACCCTGACCGCGGGGCGCGCGCTTAGACGCATGCTCGAAAGGCTCTGTAGTGCGGTACTCGGAACACGGTCAAGGTTTGCTAAAAGTCCCCATTGGCGTGGCAGCATTAAAATGGCCGGTCCTTGGATGCGAATGGCGGCAGCACTCGCGCGTGGAAAGTGCTTTGCGCATTTACAGAACATTGGTAGTCGGCACTTGGAAGAACCGCGAAGCGTCAATTTGGTCAACAGGGGCTTGAGCTTGACATTCGATGATCTGCAGCAGTATTTCCAGCAATTAAAAGTGTTCGCGCATTTTTGTCACCAGTCTTGTGATTGAATAGAACCTCATAGAAAAATTGGGTTGTGGGGATATTTATACAGCGTGTAGTTGGTCAGCCATTTAAGGTTGCGACGAGTCACACACTGTCGGTGAGCAATTTAGCCAGTGCAGTACAACCGCTAGCCTGGGGTCTTTAACGTGCCACCACGCAATAGTGATACACGACCGCACGCCGGTACGATGCTCATCCAGATCGAAACGGGCAGGGGTGGGGCTCGAACCCAGGATCCCTGGGTTCTGCAGCGCGAGCTTTCGCTCCACGCGCGTCGAGCTGGGTGTGCGCTTTAGCCCACTCGGCCACCGATTCTTGTTCTTTTTTTTCTTTATTGTCGGCCACCGATCCCCCCTCATAGACTTCGCTGAAGCCTCCCGCTGAACAGTTGGAGATAACGAGAAAGAAGAAAAAGAGAACAAGTCTCGTTCCTTTCTCTTCACAAGGATTCGAAGACAAGAACGCTCGCACTGTTGGCGCCAGAGCGTAATTCGAGATGTTTCATCATCGAGCTCGGCTGCGCGCCTCACTGGGGGTCCTGTCGGCGTACGCGCTGGTCTTCGAGTACGCCGTGTACGCGGCGAGCCGTGCCTTCCTCTGGCCCCCGGTGTTCAAGCACGAGGCTCAGCTGCGGCTTCTGCTCGTCGCAGGCCCGAGATTGGACGCCCGACGCGGTCTCCTGGACCTGGCCGCCTGGGACCGCGAGCGCTTCGTGCGACGCACCTTCGCGGACGCCCTGACCCACGTGAGCCCCCACGCGGTGCTCTTCATGGGGGACGTGTACCGGAGCCGCGGACAGCCGGATGCCCGCATGGGCCTACACTTTGCAGACGTCTTCTCGCTCCGCAGAACTTCCAGGGGTCACGAGGACGCCTTCGAGCTCCCGGGCGTACTCAAAGTAAGCTTCGAATGAACCTTTTCCGCTGAATGATGGCACACCAAGTTTCGAAAGCTCAGAATACTATTGGCTTCCGCAATTGCGATACCTTTCCTGCCTCCTCCGAGACCCCTCTGTTTCTAGTTTGCTTCAAATGAGAGCTACGTCGCTACACTGTAACGTCGTTTTGCGCTATGCATTCTTCTCGTAAAGAAACGCTCGTCTTTACTTGCTCTATAGTCCTCCCTCCACTTCAGCAGCGATGCCTCTAAAAATGAGGTTGCCTCCTCTCCAGCTTACGATCTACTTATAAAGGAGCTTCAACTGCTTCCCCTGAACTCTTAACCTGTCACTAACTGTAAAAAGTAAAAAAAAAAAAAATGTTTTGCAATCGCGATATGATTGGGTCAAAATCCGGCATTATTGCCATCAGCGCTCTCGCTTTGGTCGCGTCGATCACAATATTGTCGTTCTGCTCGCAGAGAAAGCGCAAAGAGGCTGGAAGTTTAGGTAAAATTAATCGCGTCTATGTACTATAAAGAGTGGCGCACAGTGCTAATGCCAGAGTAAATTAAACCAAATAAAAAAATTACGAGAACCCGAAAACTTTGTCTTCTCAAAAATAATAAAAACTTCGCTGACTGAGCACGAGACACTGCCGAACGCGGACGGATTCACCGGCTATCACAGCCGAGAGCTGTCTCAGAAACACAAACGAATACTTTATGTTGTTTTTGTCACCACGAGTTTAGTTGAATACTTTATGTTGTTTTTGTCACCACGAGTTTAGTTTTGAACTTAGCCGCTAGGGGCGCTATAGTTGGATGTCATCTGACTGGTGGGAAGATCAAGGGAATGATGAATATTTTCTTATTCCTTTACGGGCGGTCCGTAGGGCGGAAGGTGTGGATCGTATGGATCGTATACACTAGCTTTTAAGAATAACGTTCTAGATATATAACTCCATGTTCAAGTCAAGTCAAGTCAAAATGTGTTTTTATTTGTACACAAGAGTTAAATAAATGATCGAAAAAAAAAAAAAAGAAACTGGCTAGGCGGCGCAAGCCTCTGCCCGATTCAAAGGGTTCAGCCTCATTCATCCATCTATCCATCTATGCCTTGTGTTTCCAACTGCTCGATCAGGGACATTTGGGTTATGGGCCGCGAAATACAAGCCGCGAGGAGCAGGGGAAAACATCAGTCGTCTGCAAGCGTCGCCAGGCTCTGTTCAGCCTCTCCGCCCGCTTTCCTCCTTGCCACAGGCACTGAACGCATGCGCACGAGAAACCAATCTGCGTAGGAGGCGTCCGCCATTACATTGGAAACGCTCTCCATGGCGAGTCTTGAAGCTAGGCGCACTGTGCGGCCAGATACTGACGGTGAGGAGGAGACGGGAAGGGGACGTCAGAAAGCCGAGCTGTGATTGGAAGGATTAGCGGGTAGACCTAAACCTAGCTTCCTCTGTCTTCATTGGACTGTTTGAAAGCGTTCGAACCCAAACGTCAAACTTTCGACGCAGACGTTCCGCGTTCTAACGCGTCCAATGAGTGCAGTGGAGGCAGCTAGCGTTGTATCTACCCACTAATCCTTTCAATCAGAGCTCGGCGTTCTGAGGGCTCCTCCTCCTCTCCCTCACTTTTTACCCGCATGGTCACTGACAAGCTGAGAACGGCAGGGCGTGTTTTTCGAACGCCCGGCCTCCAGTACGCGCTCCATGTCTTTCGCCGTGCTTTTGGATGCGAGCGGCCAAAGCACGGCGAAACGAAGCTATACGATGCTCGCGCTGTAGGCGGGACCACTGAAGCTCCTCCCTGACGTTCTCACATTTTCTGCGACTCTAGTCCTGAGGTGGCAAAATATCCTAAAAAAGTAAATAGATTACATTACTAATTACTTTCCCCAAAACTGCAAAAATTTAATTACATTACATTACAGATTACCGCAGACTGAAAGTAATGACATTGCATTGTAATTGCTTTCGAAAAGTAATAAAATTACTTTGACATTACTTTTCAATCAATACATTGAGGCAGCAATTCGTGCTCATTTTATTCACTGCATATGTACCAAAACTCACATCTTCCTGTTTACACTGCAACAGTCTTAGGCGCCTAAAGTTAACCACACTAAACATTCGTTTTGCTGGCGCACACGACATAATTGCTGAACTTGGTGAATAGCTTCTTCTTTAGATGCGCCTCAAAAAGAGTCGACTCAGCGGTTTCGCTGTTAATTCAACGGTGAAGGTCCTTAGTTAAAGGGTGGTATGCTTCAGCCTTCCTGATTTGGAAACAAAGTTATAGTCCATGTCAGTTACTAAAGTTGGGCTACTATAGAGCTCGTGCTTACCTGGAGTCATCAGGTGAAACGTTTCCCTTCCGCCTCGGACGCAATATAATCCTACTCTCCCGGGAGCACTAGTTGACGTATTCCGGGTCATTCCTCTCAAGCAGTATTGTTCCCAAACACCCGACGGCCCAAGTTATTGAGCGTTGTCACACAAGCGGGCTGGATATTTGCTAGGCAGAAGCGTCGCCAGTTGAGGAAAGGGATGGCGTGAGCTTCCTAATATGTGCATTTTCCCATTAAACGGGTGGCGATATCGGCTCGTAGGCTTATTCCCGAGTACACTTTCTAAGGAAAGGTAATGAGGCATACCGCGAGTGGCACATGCTTTGCTCAATTCCCGTCTTTTTCGAAATGCACGAAATGTTCTCGGGCTTTGACAAGGAATTTGAGATTAACGATTTATTTTAGTCGTTCGTTGTTCACAATGATCGAAGCTTACAGTTTGACCTTGGTTGTCGACAAAGCAAGAGGGCTGGAGATCTGTTTGTCCAGCCCTCTCAGGTTTTAAAATGTGTTGACCTCACTGGTGAGGTCAACACATGTAGACTAAGCCGTTCATCCCCGATCTGAAAGTGCGGTAAAAGTTACGTGCTCGTTGGAACGGTCAGACGACTATCTTTCGCCACGTAAACAAGCTCTTGTCCATACCCACGGGCAGAGAAAAGGACGGGTCAGGTGATCAAAGCAAAGGGGTTGACTGGTTCTGCTGAGCTCATAGCTTCCTCTCTACTGTCACCTTAGGAATGAACGAGGTATAGCATCGTCTCGATGACGTGACGCCGTGAATCTGTCTGGAAAGTGTTCTAGAGCCGTGGCCTTCCATCGATGTCTTTACGCGTAAGCTTTTCTCCTTTGCCTTTCCAGCCTGCCTTTGTGCGTCTGCCGAGTTCTTCGTACGAGGATTTGCGCTCAGATGGGCGTCGCTTATTTTCTCTGATGTCTCTTTCACGACATTTTATCATGCAAAATAAGTGTTCTGTTTTTTTAAGCTTGCAAACGAACTTCATTATTTGGGACAAAAGTAATTACAAAAGTAATTAGTATTGCTTCCTAAAATTAGTGTCTGAAAATGATTCATTACATTACTAAGTTTCCAGCCTAGAAACGTAATTCATTACATTACTAATTACCGGAAGAAGTAATTTAATTACTGTAATTTTATTACAGTCGTGTTGTTACTACCAACTCTTCTGTATAGTCCTCTCCTCTACTTTATAGGTCCACGTGCTCCCGGGCGAAACGGACGTCGGCCGCGACTTCGGAGACCCGCGGACGATGGCCGCCACCCGGGCCTTTAAGGCGGTGTTCGGCAACGCGACGGCGTTCCGGCTCAAGGCCAAGTACGACTTCTACACGGCCGACCTGCTGTCCCGCGAGTCCCCCGAGCGGAACGCCACCGCGATGCTCGGGACGTCGCCGGACGGCGCGGTGTCCGTGCTGCTGTCACACCTGCCCGTGCTGGCCATGCTGAGCCCCAGGTTGAACACGACCCTGGCCAGGATCCAGCCCAGCGTTGTCTTCTCGGCCCACGAGCGGTCCTCGGTGCTCGTCCGAGCACACAAGAGCGACCTGACCGACTTTTCGAGCGTCATAAACGCCGACAGCGAAAACGGTGGCCTCGAGAGGTATACCATGGAAGCTGTACTCACTCATAGGTTACGTGGCTTTTCTTAATGTTTAGGCTTTGTAATTGGCTGGTCGGCCTTCTTATCCGCGACAATCTCATTAGCTGCGGAGTCATATTAAATGATTGAAAATCGTGTTGCTTTTCTTACGATGTAAGTGCGTTTTATAAATTGCCCAGACACCAAGCCGCACGCCGCACGTCTAAAGCCTGCTTCAGACAGTTGCGTTTGACTGCGTTTCACTACGTTGCGGCAGCGAGAAACCAGGACATCCCTGCTGCTTATATCGCGTGCCAAGATACGAAGCACAGATGTGCCGGTGACTCGCTTTCGGTTCTCGACGCAACGCAGTCAAGCGCACTCAAACGCAAGTGTCTGAACCGGCCTTAACGTACGCTGCACGCAATGGCGTCTGCGGGAGCAGAGGTGCAATCACACTGGCGTATGAGCCTCAGCCGCGAAGCGGATTCGCTCGTTTTGATCATCAAACGTGCGTGAATTTGGATGGGACCTTCAAGCAACCGCGTTCGCAAAGCGGTTGCGAACGCGGTTCAGCAACCAGTGAATGCGGTGTTACTGTTCTCAACCAGGAACATAAAACAAATGTTACTTTGCGGGCGCGTTTGTAACGCCTATAGCTTATTCTCATTTACTTCGAATCGTCTCTGTACACGGGTATGGACAAGACGAGACGAGAGCGCAGAGGCGGCTAGCTTTGCGTGTTCCCCATTAAGCATTTCAGTCAGAGCTCGGCGATTTTCGTCTTGACGCACTCTCGTCTCCTTTTCCTACTCTCCCTCGGTTACAACCGGTATAGTGCCGATAGTGCCTGGATCGTGGGTTCCACAGAGTTATTATAATTCACGCTAGAGGTTCAACCGAAGCTACTGTCTATGCGACTTCCGGATGTAAATTGAAGCAGACAGTAACCAGTATACTTTAGCGGTGCTCCTGTGCATTACTGTGGGAAAACGCGCGTGCATTTTGTCTTTTCGCCAGAAAATATCACGAACAGATTTTGTGATTTTGGTCGTACCGAATAGTATGTAGCTTTAATAACATTTTAAAAGTGTAAATGCTTTATTTAGAGCATTTTTTCGTTACCAGTGAACCATGTTAAACTACGCTATATTTCAGGCACAAAACTTTGTTCCATAGCAGCTATGTAAAAAACGAGCGATGATTATAACCAAAATAACAATTAAAAGGAATGTAAAGTAAAGTAAAGATTCTCTTTAATATCCTTAACACATAACGATATAAGGAGTCACAAAAATGGGGCCGAAACGTTAAAGCAGCCATGCTTGTGAATTCGGCACGCGCGATATATAATATTTAGAATACTGTAAACGTTCAAGAATGTAGTAACTATAATCCACTGCTTCCTGAAAAATATTCAGTTTTTTTTTGGTATTTTTAGTTTGCCTATTACATGCAGTGAAATTTGACAGAGCAGACAAAGCCCGAAAACGGCGCATCCGCCCATTCCATACTAAGCGCCCATAACCAAATTTCTAAGATCTGAGAAAATATGCAAAGTACATTTATATGTAGAATTGATGACAGGACAAGCGCCCATTCCCCACTTTTTTCGTGATTATCTCTAAAGTTTGAGTGGGCGCTTGCCCGGTATTTTACGGTACCTACGAAACTTCCTCAGAGCAGCTTTAACATAACCCCGATGCAGTGTTGTATCAGTGCTGCATGCAGGGCGAAGTCAGCGCTGCGTCAGTTAGATCGGAACTATTTCCGGCGGTAGCTATTAACGCCGAGGTAGCGCTGTGGTGTAGGTCTCAACATGCCTTAACAATCAAACGGCCGCTACCAATCTACGTTTCGTGGATGATGTACGCCCACTCCCATGACTGATCCGTACAAAAAAGAAAAGAAAAAAGAAGCATCATCCGTGAGCAACGCTGCACAAAATCGTAGCCCGATACGTCATGAAACCGAATTTTGCGGTTCATTTAAAGAGCCCGGCCGCTATTTGGGACACCCGGTATATATGGTGTCCCATGTCACCAGGCTCGACTTGAACTTAACCGTAATAATCGACGCCTGCCCGCAGCAATCCAAACTTGTCAAACCTGTATTTCACGGGTCGGTTTTTCTTCTAAAAATATAAAGCGTAATTCCCTTTCTGTAAAAAGTAAAGCGAAGAAACTTGCCAGGGTAAACGGCGTGCGGCGACGCAGATGATCAAGTCGAGTTGCGGGGCGTGTTTGGCGCGCGTATTGGTAGATGGCGTCGGGAGCAGCGTTCGAAGGTGTAACCGACCAGGGAAAGAAAGCAGACGACAAGCAGACGAAATCCGTTGGCACCAAAAGCGCCATCGTTATGCAAACTCGTTTTTTTAACTTTAGGTCTTGATTTTATTGCCCGACATTTATTTTTAAACCAAACGTACAGTCAAAAAATATTACATTCATTTTAATAAATCACGATGGTCGCGAGCAGTCTCGATAAAAAGGTAGCGTCATCCATCAATACGAGCGCCAAAACGCGCCCCGTCACTCGACTTGGTCGTTTGCGTCGCCGCCCGCCTTTGCCCTAGCAAGTTTCTTGGCTTTATGTTTTACAGAAAGAGAGCTCCGCTTTCTAATTTTACAAGAAAAAAAAAAAAAAGAAAACCGACCTGTGAAATAGATTTTTGACGAAAAGTTTAAATTGCTGCTGGCAGGCATAATTTTTTACGGTCGATTTTATATCGAGCCTGGTGATTTGGAACACCCTATATATGTATCGTTCGATGCGTTGATGAGAGTACTAAAATTTAATCTCGCTCGCGCATATATGACGATCCTAGTAATACAAATGTGCGTGCTTTTCAATGCAGTTCCGCCGCGCCAACCGTAAAAATATATAAATGCGACTTATTTATACCAACCTTCTCTCGTTGAAAACGACCGTTTATAGGGGGCTGTATACTTATTCAAAGGCGCGACTTATTGACTCGAAAATAAGGTAATGAGGGTCGAAATGGGTTGCTTCTCCTTTCCGGCTCAGGGTTATACTGACAGACGAGACTTACCTGGAGCTCGTGGTGCCGCCGTGCTCGTACGGCGCCACACTGTTCCCGGGGTACGGCGTGGCCGTGTTCAGCGGGGACAAACTGCTCGACCACGGAGTCCTCTGGACGCCCATGCGCACAACTCACCTCTGGGGCTACCTGCTCGTCCTGGCCTACGTGGGGGCGCTGCTGTCCTTCGGCTGCACCACGTCGGCCACCCTCGGCGCCCTGCTGTGGCGGCCCAGACGTCATCGGCTCTGACGCCTCCAACCAACCCGCGAACGCCTTGACAAGTCACTGTCGGACGCAGCTGTAGCAGTAGTGCCTAGAAGACGAGGTCTTTCGCTCACCCAGAAACGTCATCACTAGTGGATCCACGCAGCTATACGGAGCGCAAGTTTGTCTGCTTCTTTTGCACGTGTTGTGGTGACGTCAGAACGCCGAGCTCTGATTGGTTTTGATCGAATGATAGCGGGTAGACATCGAGGCAAGCTGCCTTGAGGTCTACCCTTGATCAGAGCCAACGTTGTTAGATTAGCTCAATTACGGAACTGCTCATAGACGCTGCATGCACAAGCAGTTAGCCCCCCCCCCCCCCCTTCACTCACCACGGCTCGCCTCCCGTCGTTCGACGCACCCGACGGCTACTTTCGTGACTGCGGTGTATTCTGTGGGTAGGGCTATTTGTTTTCGGAGTTTATTTTTCGTCAAATTCGGAGGGTGTTTTTCGGAGTTTATTTTTTGTCGAAGATTCGGAGTTTATCGGAGTTTATATTTTTTTTATTCCCAATTCTCCGAAATTCGGAGTTTAATTTCGCTGTGTTTCCTATTAAAAATAAATAAATAAATAATAACCGAATGTAAACTTATGCCAGATAAAAAAGAAGAAGGGCTTGTATCAATTGAAATATTTTCAGTTGAATTTGGCGTTGGTGCCATTGCTATTGGCAATAGTAATTTATCCATCGGATTTAAAAACAGCGCGAAAAGACGAGGACCAGACAAAGGAGTGACACGGACGTAGCGCTGTTTATCCACGACAAAAGTCACACACAAGTGGTACTTCGATAAACGCCGATACCTTAAAATCATTAAACTCCCGGAGGTAGTCGCTAGGAAGCTCGTAGTCATCCCATCCTATTTCATCAATCGAGCCCGCGGCCGCGTGCGGTGGAGTGGTTAAGGAATTAATAGAGAGTTTGAACTGCCCCTCTTCCCAATTTTATACAATCCCTATGGTCCATAGCTTTCACTGTTACTAATACATACCCTTTCCTTTCTGTAAATCACAAATCGCATGGCCCAAACCGGAAACTAAAAGAGTGGCTTTTTTCGTGACCCGAATGTCAACGAACGACCTGTTGCCCTGAATCAACCTCGAAGAGACAAGCGGCAAGACCCCTGTTGACAACGGTCTGAGATTTGAAAGCTAATTATGGTGGAATTTTCCCACGACCATTGAATGTGCGCTGACAAAACTGTAAAAAAAAGAAAAACGCAGACACATAAATATTCGCATTTTATCGGATAAATCCGAATTGACCAAAATTTTACCGGCGGGTGTTTTTCGGAGTTTTTCAGATTTATCCGAAAACACGGAGCCCTATCTATGGGATATCTACGTTTCGAAGCGCAGCTTTTAGATGGCGTTTCACCGTACTTTTTGGAACACACAGTTTGCAAACGAAAATCTAGATGGCGCTTCGAACGACGGTAGGCGGACGGAAAGGAGAGAGGGGGGTACCCCTTTCCACGGGAGTTCCAGAACTAAGGTAATCTCGTAACGTTGCTCAGAGTCAACCGGAGCTCGGCGTTCTGACGTCACGACGACCCCTGCAAAGGCAGCAGACGAACTTGCGCTCCGCATATATGTTGCGTCTGTGTCGGCGCCAGTGCGTCGTGCAGCGCGTCTCACAACGAGTGCGACGCTAGCACGCGTCGACGCCACGATGGACGCGTTGTCTTTGCGGCATCTCTAATCGAGCTTCCGCGTGTTTGCCGCTGGGGGGCAGGTCGGGCACCCCCCCCCTACACACACACACACTAACGATGACGTCAGGCGCAGGCCTTGCCTTCTAGCAGCTACTGGCAGTAGTCATTGACAGCTTACGAAATGCAGGGTGCGACGAGTCCCAAGCATCTCATTATCGCTCCGCAGACAATCAGATTGCGGCATTGGCGGATAAGAAGGCCGAGCAACTAATCACGAAGCAAGGAGCGTGAACATCATAATGCACACCCTGTCCTTCTAAGCTGGCGGTGAGTAGAGTGCGTGCGCCCACTCAGGGGGGGGGGGGGGGGGCGAATGCTCTTTTATTATCCTTAGAGTAATGACGTTCGTTATAAAAACAGCTATTCTAAAACAACTCATTCTAAAAAAAAAAAGATATCGCCAAATATGCACTTTTTTTTGTTTTTTAGCCATGAAGTTTAGAATTTTGTTTTTCGCCGTAGATGTTGCGTGGCAATTATATGCTATGTGCTCCTGTGTACACTATAGTACATCCTTCTGAACCTATATAAACTCTCTGTGTGCGTGTGCTTTTCTCGTGGCATTTTGTAGCCATTCTCACACCCGGGTGTCGCAGAAATGCGGCAGTCCTGCTGCCTCCTTCCTTACGTTTAGGGGGCAGTGGTAGAAGGGTTGAAACCGAGCGAGAAGAGGAAAGCACAGGAGCGCCAGGGGACGCCAGAACGCCCAGCTCTGACTCGAGTGATTAGTAGGTAGGCGCAAAGCTGGCTGCACCTGTCTCTGCTTACTCTTCGAACGCGTTCGAGTGCCAAACGCCGGCGCCCATTTTTTGAGTTCGCGTTCAAACGCCTTCGAAGAGGGATTATAGAGTTAAAAACAGCTAGTACACCCCCACAAATAATTCGAGTCGGAGCTCGGCGTTGTGGCGTATTCCGCGTGCTCACGTCCTCTCCTCTCCCTCTGCGCATACGGTGAGACCTCCCCACTCGGACATATCTCCTCTGGTTGGACAGGATCACTGAGCGCGTGTGTGGCCCGCGTCTCACGAGGCACACATCTCTCTGACTAGGACACTTAACTGTCTTGTCTTGCCTGTACGTTTAGACAGCCTTGAAGTTGGTATACCCCTCAACGGGTGACCTCACCTCTCAGCTGTAGATGAGAGATTTAGCCAGTGCCGTACAACCGCTAACCTGGGGTCTTCAACGTGAACCACGCAGTATTGATGACACGAATGCGTGGCTATACGGAAATCATCCACACCAAAACCTGCAGGGGATGCGGATCGAAACCAGGAGGTTCTGCATCGCAAGCTTTTGCTCAATGCTCCGAGCTCAGACGCGTTAGCCCAATCGGCCACCGATCCCCTGATTCCGACACTTCCCCAGTTGCCTCGTATTTGTAGACATTTTCCGCATAACTTGACACCAGCGCGCAACTGACGTACCCTCGATCCGGTACATTTTTTTAATTACCTGCTGACAGAGGGTTTGCAACCGACGAGGGTATGGCCGAAAAGACTTAAAGCGTTTCTAGGCCTTTTGTACGGTTGTCTGGTTATCACTGCGTCGTTGTCGTGCACGCAAATCACTTCATAAGCGTAAGAAGAATCGCGGAAAATGTGCGATGAGCACAAGTAGATGAAGCGCAAGTGTGGGTGCAATGGTATTGAGCTTTACAGGTTCCCCAAGGACCTTTACTTATGGAGTCAGTGGATTGCGAGCGTGAATTGCGAGGGCTTTGTATCAGACTCGTCGTCGCGTTAAGGCTCACGACTACTTCGTCTAGTTAAAAAGCAAGTACCTCCGACTTATATAACAATATCAACCATTTATAAGTAGACGTTTCGTCTCCTATGCGGGAGACATCATCAGTGCAGTCTAAGAACTGCGGACTTCCAACTCCGATTCCCTCAGACCCTGTTCCCGGATGAACATGACGTAGCAATACTTCGCTTTCGGCAAAACGGTTTATTCACTCACTCATTGCCTGGGGGTTTCGGGATCGGGGAATGGCCATCAGCGAGGCCGGGGGGAGAGTCCGCTGCCACCGCAGCTCCTCCTAGTCCCAGCGGTGGTCGTCCACACCGCGTCCTGGGGACGTGGTCGTCCAAGGTCGCTGTCCGGTCCGTTCATCGAGTCGGGCGCTCGACTTCGCGGCCCGCACTCCCCACGCCAGCGTCCGTATCCCGCCGTATCCCGCGCCAGCGCCCTCGTCTCCTGTCACCGCTGCACGCTCGTTGCTGTCCGCCGTTCGAGAGAGTCGCCGTCCGGGAGAGCCGCCGTCCGAGCTAGTCTTTTCTTTGTCTCGCGTCTCCTTTTCACGCCATGCCCCCTTTGTTCTGGAAAGCTAGTCGCGTGACGTCAGTTGGCTTAGGGGAGCGGCGTAGCCGGATCTTGTGGTGCGCGAGGCCATGGCCGCTACCCCGAGGCATGACGCGTCTCAAGCCTGGTTCAGACAGTTGCGTTTGACTGCGTTTGACTGCGTTGCGGCAGCGAGAAACCAGGACATCCTTGCTGCTTATATCGCGCGCCAAGATGATTCCTTGAATTGGATTCCACGCTTCATACGAAGTACATACGTGCCGGTGACTCGCTTTTGGTTCTCGACGCAACGCTGTCAAACGCACTCAAACGCAAGTGTCTGAACCGGCCTTCAGAGGCATGGCGCGTCAAGCTTGTGCCGGGCCCGGAGGGTCGGCGCGGAGTAGGGCAGTCAGATCTCCGCAGAGCAACCCGACTAGCTTCCAGCAACCAAACGCTTGCTTTGTCCTTCTTTTCATCCGTATCTCCTGCATAGGAGACGAAACGACTACTTCTAGTTTGTTGATATCGTTTTATAAGTCGGAGGTATTTGCTTTGTAATCATGAATTCCGGCTTTTGGAGCATTTTCGCATTTACTTCGTCTAGGGCAGTAGTTCTCAAATGGAGTCCGCGGACCTTTTGGAATCTGCGAAGGCATTCTAGGGATCCGCAAGGTATGCCTCATCAGTCAAGCCCGGCAATAAAAGTTGTGTTTTTTCAGATTAAGAATGCATGTCAGTAAAAGAAGTCTACCTCCCACTAGTCGTCAGTTGTATTGATCGATTAAATCATTATCATAAATAATCTATACCTTTCCCTTCCGTTCACCATGAAGGGGGTCGTCCATCATCACCGCCGATCTACGAGGGGTCCGTGAAATATCAATGTTTGAGAACCACTGGTTTAGGGCAAGAGGACTGACTCCAACCCGCTACCGGTGCTCCAATTAAGTTATCACTGCAAGGTTGCTATTGCTGCATTGCAC